GTTCTCTGGGTTGCAGAGACTGAGTTCTCAGCTACCCTGGAGAAAGGGCCACAAACAGCCATGCTGAGCTGAGATCTGGTGTTGCTGTGATAACTGGCAAATAACTTTTCAAAGCCAGAAAGGACAATGGGAACAACTCAAAGAGACATAGCCGAAATCAACAGAGGATTTGGCCAGAAAGGAGAATCATATTTAACAATTAGGACTATCCCACAATGAGAAGAGCGAAGGAACTTGTAGACTTCTGACCCCAGAATGGAATTGGTCAGAGCCTCTTGGGAATGGCAAACACTTGGCACCCATTCCTTCATCCAAAGCCCCCTTTCTTGCTGAAGCAGAAACTGGTCTCACCATCCTTCTTAACACAGTGGTCCAGGCGGTCACTTTCTTATAGCAGGCTTCTGGGATAACATTATTTACATTCCTAAAATGTCTCTCTCAAAGTATTTGCAGGTTTCAAGAACTAACTTGATGCCACAGGGAAAAGAAAAGAAACAAGTGTGCAGAGTGAAAGACCCCCTTAGCAGGCCCAGCCAAAGGCCACATGGTCTAATGGAATTTCAAAAATCATCTCACTTAGGGAATGGAATGTAACATAGTCTGGGAGTCAGGGTGGGGCTGTGGGAAGGGCTTGGTCCATTGGAAATGAAATACAGTGAAAGCGCTGACAGCAAAGCAGAGTGTGAAACCAGCAAAATTAGGTGAAACCAAAGAACCGTGACCAGGCATCCCAGCATCTGATGGGNAAAAAAATCCTATAAATTGATCTTTTGTTCTTCACACAATTTCAGGTCCACTGCACACAATTACATAAACCCACACAAATTGGTCCAGGAGTTCAAAGCTGCAGGGCCATGTGATACCAGTGAGAAAATCCGGCTCCACATGGCGGAGGTGTCTCTGTTTCAGCTACTGCTGTTTCAAAGAACCTTTCCAAAATTCCCGATTGGGTTATTAGGGTGTGAGAAATAATCTCTCAACAGGGTGTGCCAAAAATAGAGAAGTGTGGCCTGCATTAAATGGAATGTATTGTGTAAGATGATTTCCCCTCACTTCACCCTCACCCCCATCTTTAAAGAGCCAAGTCTACGTTATCACTTTCTCAGAAAGTGATCTGCCAAACCTGACGTTTTACATTTCCATATTCAACATTATCATAGTGCTAGTGCAAATTAAAGGGAACTTTTATAAACCAGAAATAGCTGTCCAATAAAAGTTAGTGGTTAGTATTTGCTTGCTGGAAATTCTTCTCCCAGGCCCTCCAAGGAGAATTATTGTGGCCAACAAAGGCTTTGAACATTCAAAATAAAAATAACTGGAAGAGAAGTTTTCCAAGCCATTTTTCTCAAACACAAAACTCAGGAAGTATGCTTGCATTCACAAAACTGCTCTTTCCCATTGGTAACAAAGGAAGTCTCCCTTCCCTCTTTTTTCCCAATTCTGTGCATTTTACAAAGTCCACCGAGGTGTATGATTGAGACTAAGGCCTCCGGATTTCCAGTCCACACCCCACTGGATTGGTGGTGCTGTCCCCACAGAGGAGATAGGCTTGTTAAGAGACCCCTGGCAAAATGCTGGGTTGCAGTATGCCATCTTCTTAAAAGTCAACAATGAGACCATTGCTGTGAGACATCTAAATAGGCCATGGAGGCCACGGGGGCAGGAAGGGAGCAGGAGGGTGCCTGGGGCAGGAACGGCTCTGCTGCAAAGATCCACCTTCCTTACAGGCACCCATCAGTGGTTCTCCTTTCCTCAACTGGCCAGCTCTCCAAACCATTCTCGGAGAAGAAGTAGAGAAGAGATGGGGAGCATCCCTACCCCAACAAGGCTCAGTGACGCCTGCTATCAGGAGTTCCTGGCCTTGCTTGGTTGATCTCCACAGCCAAGCACCCTGCTCCAAGCATCTGTCTGTCCCTCTTCAAACAGTATCAGTTGCACTGGCATCCAGCTGCCGGGAAATCTTCCCAGTGGGGGCTCTGGGGCACAGACTGGCCCTGACCTGTTCCCCCCATTGGCGTCTGCTCTAAAGATCACCCAGGTGGCTACTCAGAGAAGCTGAAGGAGAAGCTTCTTCCTCCCTCTGCACCTTCCGAGGGCAGCCCAAAGAGCTTCCCTGAACCTGTGCTCCGTCATTAGCAGGACGAGTCCTCATTCTTGGAGTCCATGTCCATGCACAAGGCGAGGGCAACTTGCAAGAATCCAGCTTTGGAAAGAACAAAGCCTTGACTTCAAATACACAGAAGTGCAGCTTCAAGTGCAGGAAGACCCCTTGATGATGTGAAAATGGGCTGGGCTCACAGACACCTTCATGTCTGCAAGGAGCCTCTACATTTCCATAAGGAGGGACGCTGCCTGGCCACCACGGCAGAACAAGTCCAGGCCTAGGTTACAATAACCAGTTAGCGCCATGTGCAAACCACAGAGGCCTGTTTCATGAGATCCTTCCTTCAACTCGAGGAGGCACCAAAGAGTTGGAGTCAGCAGCTTGCGTGCTGAGAGAATCATCAGGTTCCCCTCCTGTCTCCTGGAAGCGGCCATGGAGGCAAGGACAGAGGCAGAATCCACCCTCTATAGGCATCTACACAGGTCATCATATACAGCTTTGTTATTTAAAATTGAAGTTTCCAGTGTAAAAACTTGTGGGCTTATTGCATCTACCCCACTGATGGTTTGTCTTTCTCTTTCCATCAGACCTGCCCCAAGTGCATGGGGCTATTATTTTGTTAATTTCCAAGGATCTCACATTTGCAGATCTTCTAGGCATAGAGGGAGCATTTCTACTAACATATACATACCTCAAGCTTGCTGAGGCGAGCTCGCTGAGCCCCTCTTCCCTTCTAAGCATGGGCAGATATGTGTGGCTGCTCCCTGGCACGTGAGGGGAGAAAATTTTTTGAACCTAAAACTCCTCAGATAGGTGACTCCTCTAGTTTTCCTGGAATTCAATTGCATGTGAATGTATCAGGTAGGCACGTGAACATGTACAATGTGTGCACACATGTGCGGATTTGCATGCGTGCACACACACATTTTGGGTCCTCTTTATAACAAAAATAAATTCCTTGTGGGTGAAAGCAAGGAGAAACTCAGGGGTCCAAGGATGGAGAGCTGTCTGCTGGCTTCTCCATCCTGCTCCAGGCAGCAAATGGTGGCTTTTTGGGAGCTGGAGATGTTTGCCTTTAAACATTTCTGTGGAAGGAAGGCATCCAGCTTCCTGTGGGTCTTTTCATGTAAACGGCGGCTATTGTGGTGTCTGGATCCCCTGTTTCTTGTGGCTCAAATTGTTTCTGGGGTTTCGGCTATCTCCTCCAATCTCTGCCGAATCATTAGCCGGAGCACAGTGTACCTGGGGACAGAAACAGCTGCGGTAGGGAGCGGAAAGCAACACACACCTTTCTTGATCCCACTTCCCAACTTGGGTTGCACTGTGGACTGACTGTCCTGTGCTTTTGCTTCTGACATTGGCCCACTGCTTAGCCACTTTGCTGCAAGATAAGAGGGACTGAAGAAGCTAACTCCAAACTAGATTATTTTACTCTAGTTAGAAAGTCTGGCAAAGAAGGATAAGAGGGTGAAATACAACAGGAACAATAATAAGGGTTCCATTAACTGAGTGTGTACTATGCCCAGGGCACTGTGTGTAGTACTTTACATGCACAGTAGCATATATTCCTCATCTAGGCTGGGCCATATGAAATTACCATTATTTCACCATTTGTTTGTGTGTGTGGGGGGGAAGGGACCTACAAAACAGCAGTTTCATGTGGTTCAACCTCATATCAGCTCCTGCATTTTTCAGAAGAGGCCATAGCAACTACCAGGCAGGGAGGTCCATGGCTTGTTGGTGAGTGCAGTATCCCCATCCCTTCCCTGAACTATGGCATGGCAGATACTGGAGTGGGCACCTTATGTGCAGGGCTAAAGGGGACATTCCTTATGTTTGGGGCTTTGCACACTGCCCAGCAAAAGCTATTTTTAAAGTTTGGCGCATAGTAAGTGTTCAATAAATGTTAACTGCTATCATACTAGTTATTATCACCGATACAACAAATATAGCATTGGCTTTACTCTCCAGGGGCAAACATCAATCAATTGTTCTGCCATATCCATAAAACACAGCCAATTTTATGACTAAAGAAGGCCGAAAAAATATCATAAAATCCTCTCCAGAGAGAAGATTTACTGGACTTTTCAACCCCAATGCAATTTCCACAAGAGAAATGTAAAAAGATTAGGAAAGGTGCTAGGAAAGGACTTAAGAGGTAGGGTGCTCAGACTACTTGCCACTGCCTTCCCTAAATCCCCGGAACATTTTTAGGTTCCACATCAAAATGAAAAGCTGACATGAGAAGCACAGAGACCTGTGAAGTTTCGTGTCCCCATCGGAGATCTGGATTCGTCAATGGGGAGCCCCTGAAGAAGATCTGTAAGACCCAGGCCCATGCAGCAGCTCAGCGCGGTCCCTGCGAGTCAGCTGAACAGAGAGCCCTCTCACTGAGGCCCCGGGAGAAACCCAACCAGCCACCCGGGGCCACACTTACTTGCGCGTCAGCTTCTTTACTTCCCGATCTTCTTCCTCTTGGAGCTTCTGAATGAAGCTTTTAAGGACAGGCATCTCGAACTTTATATACTGGGCCACCTGGAGAGGAAGAAGTAAGTCTGGGGTGCATGCCCGTTCCCCAGCATTAATCCAACGCCTTTTGGCGGCTCTCTCGCGTAAGACACAAAGCCTTGGGAAATCCGTTTCTGCACTAACTCAGGATTTCCCTAAAGGCAGGAGCCAAGCCTCATTCTTCTCAAGGCTGGACAAGGGTCTACAATGAAGATCACGTCATTCCCCTGACACGTATCTCATAACGTCTCTTTTTTATCTCATGTATCCACTCCATGACGAGGCAAACATGGAACAGCTCTTTCTCCTGATTCTGTGATGCAGACAAAGACCTAAACCCATTATATTTAACACACCTCTCTGTTCTCCCCTAAGAGAATTTAAGGAGCCTGGCTCAGAATATGTCTCAGGTCTCAAACAAGCATCCAAATGTGAACATGATCCTGAGAGGCTGTGAGGGTGGGGTGGCTCCCGGGTGAGCTGGAGTTAACAAACAGCTCCTCCTCCCCCACCAGAATCCCTACCCTACGCTGTCCACTCCTCTCTATGGGAGAAGTATACTTCTCCACCCTGTTCATGTTGGGCTTGGCTATGTGACTTGCTTTGGCTAATGGAATGTGTATGGAGGACGTGACAGACAGCAAATCTGAGTAGAAGCTTCCAATGAGCTTCCATAGTTTGGCCTGGTTTCCTGCCCTCCAGCCATCCACCATGAGAAACATGCCCCAGGTAGCCACTGCCCCTTGAGCCTGGGTCTCTGAATGAGACATGCCATGCAAGACCCTCAACCCACAGCCTAGAGTAGAACCGCTCTCCCAGCATGCAGAATCCTGAGGAAAAAAGTAAGTGTTTGCTGTTGTAAGCAGCTAAGATTTTGGGATATGTCTTACTCTAGCAGAAGCTGACTAATACACAAGATAAGGTAAAATCACTGCTAACTTCTTGAAGCTGCTAAGAGAGGGTTTGCAGAAACTTCTCAGCCCTCTTTCAGTACCCGAGAAAGGTTCAAGATGTTTATTCCTTCTATGGAAATTACTTTGTGCCTGAACATTCCTCTAACAACTCCCACAGGGCACATCTTCAACCTAGCCTCTGCGTTCATTCTCCTGGTCCCATGGCCGTTATTGCTCAACAAAACCTTGTATTGAGGAATGGCAGCAAAAAGGGGCACTGTCCTTGACCAAAAGAATCAAGCTACCCCAGTTGCCGGTAATCCAACCAAACCCCCACCCTGCTGAGGACAGACCATCGGACCAAAAGGGGACTTACGTCATAGGTGACTTCCTCCACTTGGTCCTTCTCCATAAGGAATACTTTAGAGACCTGCTCACATGGGCCCTGGAGGATTCGGGCAATCAGCGGGTAATCAGTGTTCTTCAGCTTCTGTTTCTCTGGAACCACACAGCCAGGAGCAGACCTGAGTTTGGGCTAGGGCCTTTGTCACCATAAGTAGTGGTCAACTCAGGGACCCAAATGGACCAGGAACCTTAGGAGATGCAGCCATACCAATCAGGAAACTGACTTGTAAATGAACAATTCAACAGGTGGTGTTCAAAGTGACCGCCCTCGCCTCTCTCCCCAGCAATACTACCATGCCTCAAACCCTTTGGAAGATGCTGCAATGGAGGAATTGGTTTTTATCTGTCTCTTGAGACAATCCAGTTCCTGTTTTAATAAGCAGTTAGGTTCCAGGGTTTGTTTACTGACCACATACTCGTATGGCATTCCCCAATGGACTCATCCAGTGAGCCCACCAACCTTGGAAGCAAACAGCATCTGCAAGTTTCCAAACCCAAACAACAAGCGAATGAAGCAGAGGGTGTATTTTTGTTAACTTGCTATTTTGAGTTAATTAAAAGTTTTAAAGTACACTGTGTTCTTCAGACTTACCACCGCTGGTATGGACCACGTACAAAGCAAACTCCTCCGCTGAATTCTCAATCTGAATCAGGAGTAAAAGATGCTTGCTGAAAGCACATATTACACATCCTAACTCTAAGCCATTCTTGCTTTATCACTGCAAAGCTAAATGGATTTTAGGCTCCTTTGAGGGGAGGGCTATTTTTCTTTGTAGCTCTCAGAAGTGATGAGGAAATGGGGCAGCAGGTAATGTTATCAATAATAATAGGTAATAAGAACTAACATTTATTGGACCAGGCCACGTGTTTCTACAACACTTTATGTTTTAACTCATCTAATACTCACAACAACCCTGTAACAGGGTCTTGTTATCCTCACTTTACAGATAAGAAAGAGGAAGAAAAGGGATTTAAGTAATTTGCCCAACTCATCCAACCAGCAAGTGATAAACCCAGNGGATCCCACATATGAGGGCCAGTGACACTGCCCTCCACAGCTAAGATTCTGAACAATGGCTCAACCTGGAGCTGGGCTGCCAAGAGTCGTTGGCGTAGGCTGCAGCCCCTGCTGCAGTGGGTTGCCATGGGCTACCGTGTGTAGCCAGCAGCCACCGTGAGTGGCCGTCCAGAAACCAGCGACTGATCTGCCTCTCCCGGGAAGAGCGCAATGATGGTGCCGACTTGGGCCAAGTGAAGCAACATCCTCCACAACTAGACTGAAGAACAAAAAGACAGCAACTTGTCTGTTCCCCTTCCCCCAATTCCCCAATTAAAAAAATAAAAATAAATAAAACTAAAAAAGAATACTTAAAAAAAAAAGAACATATGGCATGTACATACAATGGAATATTACTCATTACTAAAAAAGAATTAAATCTTGCCATTTGCAACAACATGAATGGACCTAGAGGGTGTTATGCTAAATAAAATAAGTCAGGCAGAGAAAGACAAATACTGTATGATTTCACTTATAAGTGAAACAAAATGAATAAATCAAACAAACCAGAAACAGACTCATAGAGAACAAGCTGATGGTTGCCAAAGGGGCGGGAGTGGGGGGTGGGGGGAAAAAAGACCCAAAACCCAGAAGGCATAATAATAACAAAAAAAATTGATACCAATCTGTAAAAATTTTCAATTTCTGTCTAGAAAAAAAATTTACCCTATCAAAAGTCAAAATGTAAATCACAAATTGGGGGAAAACATTTACAATACATATGACAAAAGGCTAAGTGTCCTTAATATGTACAGGGCTTTCATAAATCAATAAGAAAAAGATTCTACATGCAATAAAAACTGGTCAAAGGACATGAACAGATAATTCACAGAAAAATAAATTAATACAAATAGTTAATAACCTATGAAAACATGCTCAATCTCTCTCATCACTATTTTTTAACTTACCAATTGATATGAAGCCGACAGTCAATCATAACATACTAGATATATTAGAATTTAGCTTTGAGTTAAAATTATTAAATTAGCTCTTCTTAAGAGCCATAGCTACACAGGAAAATCGTCATGTCCTGGGGCCTATAGGCCTGACTGTAGCAAGTTTCAGAGGGAATACTCTGCTGGAGATAACAGAAGAATGTAGCCTGTGAAGCACAAAATGTATAGCTCTGTTCTCTTTTCTGCTCTTAAGTTAACGTCACTGGCTCACAACCCCAAGATGTCTTACAGACCTCTCCTTCTGCTCAAGACCACCTGGCCAAAGTCACATAGACACAAACAGGATGCCCCCAGGAGCTCAATAAATCAGATTGTTGAAGCTTGTATATAAGAACTCACCAATCAACACAGCCCACAATCCTGAACACCTTAGTCCTGATTTTTGCTCTATAAAACTATGGAGACGCTCGGGTTTTTTCAGCACAAGCTGCCCGTTTTCCATTGTGTAGCGCTATACAATGAAAACCACTTGCTTTCACTGTACCCAGGTGTCAGCGTAATTGGCTATCTGCAGTGCCCAGTGGACAAACTCTTTGCTTGGTAACAGATATAAATCAGGTAGACTGCTGGCCAAAATATGGGAGTTCTCCAAGACTTTTGGTCATGCTCAGCCTGTTGGGTGATCTTACCAAGGCCATCGCTATAAATCTGACCTATTGGCCCATGTTGTCCAGTCTTTGCCTCCAGCCTGACTTCTCCCCACTTTTTTTCTCACCTTTGCATTTCTTGGGTTAGGAATGTTGGGGAAATATTTACATAGCCTACCACATTGTTGAACTGAAATTAAGGTAACTGATTCTATGTCTGCCTCAAGGACAACATCTGCCTCTCCACAAACTTCAGCTATCACCACAAATCACTGGCTCCCTCCAGCCTGCTGGGGGAAAAAGAAAAGAAAAAAAAAAAAAAAGCCAGCTAAATTTACATACACTTCAAGACAAACACAACAGCAGAGCTAAGAAAGGGCCAGAAATTTAGAGTTCAGTCCGATACTCCTTAAACATAGTATTGTTTCTCAAACAGGGAAGGGTCAGAGGAAGACAGCTAATGGGGCTGGAATGTGGATTCAATTGGACACTTCCTCCAAGGGTGCCTGCCAGTATCTGCAGCCTTGGAGAGAGGGATTCGCTCAGCTGGCTGGTTGCAACTCTTCTGTCTTCTCTGTTATTATCAAGAATTTATAACCCCTGCCCCCAGGACTCCAAAACACCTTGTAAGAATCATAAGCATCAATTCCACAATGCCTTGAGAATACAGAAGTGATCGTCACCATCTCTTCAAAGAATGGAAAACAAGACAAGGAGCAAAGACGAGGCTTCCCACATCAGCCAGCATCTCAGGCACGGAATTGACATAGTTCAAAGCTTCCCACACTGAGAAAGGACCGGAGAGAAACAAAGGCAACACAAGGGCAGGCCAAGTGGCTCAACTGGTTAAGAACGCAAGCTCTGAGCAACAGGGTCGCTGGTTCGATTGCTACATGGGCCAGTGAGCTGTGCCTGAGCTGAGCTGCCGCTGAGCTGCCAATAGGTGGCAGGACGGCTCAGCTGGTGAGAGCATGTGCTCCTAACAACAAGGTTGCCGGTTCGACTTTCGCATGGGATGATAGACTACGCCCACCCGCAACCAAGATTGAACACGGCACCTTGAGCTGAGCGGCCACGACCTGCCGGTGGGTAGCCAGATGGCGACTGGACTTGGAGCTGAGCTAGCTGCACCCTCCACAACTAAGATTGAAGGACAACAACTTGACTGTCCTCCTACCCCAATTCCCCAGCACTGTTCCCCTTCCCCAATAAAATATTTTTTAAAAAGGCAACACAAATAAAAGAGCAGATTTGACACAAATAATTTTTAATGTGGAGCCACGCTTTGGAAATCTAAAACATATTTAAAGCTATTGATCTCCCTCTGTGAACATGGTCATTTGCCCTGCAAGAATTCTAAATCAGTACAACTTCTCTTTAAAAAAAACTTTAAAAGATAAAATGTATATTGAACGCCTACTAACTACAAACCACGCCTACAAAGATGTCTGGATTGGGTGAATGTTGTTGGGGTTGCCAACTTAGGACATGAGCCTCCCAGGCCCTAGTCATGTTGGAGACTCAGTGGGGTCACCAACCAGTCAGTCTCTGGCACTGACTTCATGCCCTGGCAGAATGTTCCAGGTTCTTCTCAGTTCCATTCAATGCCTGTGCGATGCCATCCAGCTTGTCAGTGGAACCTAACATGTCCCATGTGAAGAGCTATCCATATTCCCTACCTGCTTCAAAGACCTTCCCTCAGATCCAAAAGAATGTCTTCACAAAGAGAAGATTCCTAAACCGCTGAGTAGGAGGACATCCCAGCCACAGAGAACTTTCTGGGCCTGCTTTTCACGCTCTGTGGGTGTACCTAGGCTCCTCCTCAGACCCAAACAAACTCACAGGTTCCCTGAGCCCTGATCTGAAACTGAGCTCCCCCTACATACTGTCCCCGCTGCTCCTGGGCAGTGTTCGGGTGGCAANTCAGGTTCAGGTGGTCTGATTCTGGGGTGGGGCCTGAGAACCTGCTTTTCTAACAAGTTTCCAGGGGATACTGATGCCTGGGGTCTAAAGAACCCAAACCTCTGCCCAGCACTCCCCTCCCTCACCACACACTCTCCACAGCCCACTCCTCTGCACCTCTGGGGTCCCCAAGGCACACATGTTGCCCATCTGAGGCCAGCTAGAAGAGGGAACTTGCCTTAAATTTGTTGAGTAGCAGCTTCAGGACCTGCGGGGTGGTCATGGTGCTGTTGATGCGAACGTTAGTGACGGAGCCGTAGGCTGGTGTGAAGACTGACGTCTGTCAATAGAGGGGTTGAGGTCAGGGTGGGAGTGGGGACAAGGACGGGGTCTAAAACTCAGGAGTGCCACCCTGTTACCTGGGGTAAAGGACACGGAGACAATGACACTCAACCGGTGCTCCTGGCAGCCCCCCAACAACCTGGCAAGCATCAGGCTTTGATGTCAACACAGAGCCCTCAGGTTTGCCTAACTCAGGAGCTCGAGGGGTCTGAGCTTGCCAAGTGGCAAGGTTGGGGAAGGGGACTAGGCCCAGGTAAAGGAGGCCCTCTGTCCAAATAAAATATGCACAAAGTTCCTTCCACTGTGACTTTAACACAAGAGGAAGTCTCTGACCACTCTCCCACCACGCACATGCTTCTGGAGCTGGATTTGAACCAGGCAGCAAGGAGAGGAGGTTCAGCTAATTAGGGCGGAGCAGGCAGGGCACTGACGCCCTCTGTTCTGAGTACTGCAGCTCTGCTTCAGGGGCAGCCCTTAACTCATGGAAAAGTCAGACCACACAGCAGCTGGGAGACACACAGTGCAGGAAGAGGGTAACATGAGGATTTGCTGGGAGGATCTGGTGGGGGGTGTCTGTGGGATCATTTCACCTACCATCTAGGTGATCTCCTGATCTGGGATCCCTTGTTCCTCATGGAGCCAGCAGAGCCTGCAGCCCAACCACAACCCAAAGACTGAAGGGCAAACATTTGGCTTCCCAGGCGTCTGTAGCCCAGAGGTGGTGGCCGCCCAGGAAGAGGCCTTGTCACCCTTGGGCCTTGTCTCCTCTACCTTGTGGTTGTAGAAATGGCCATTGATGGAGAAGCGGTGGCGTCTGATTCGCCGCTGGTCGCTGGGTGTCCTCACGTTGCCACGGCGACGCACGCCAACATCACTGCGCGTGCGCATCAGCTGTGGGGTGTCCTCCTGCAGGGGCTTCAGGCCTCTGGAGTCTGAGAGGGAAGGGGAAAATGAACTCTGTCTGTCTGGACCCAGCATGTGGCAGTTTGCACACAGTGCCCTCTTGGCAGCCAGGGCTATAGGGCCCACTGCCTCCCAAAAAATATATTTTATAAAATCAGTATTTTCTATTGGGGGAAAAACATATGCGTAATTGACTGAGAAGCAATACAGTGATGAAGTTCAGAGCGGACTTTAGAGCCAGACTCCAGGTGCAAATCCCAGCTCTACCATTGCCATGTATTGCTAATGTCTCTCGCCTCAGTTTCCTCATCTATAAAATGGGATAATAATAGCACCCACCTCCCAAGATTGTTATGAGGCTTTAAATGAGTTAATTCACGTGATGCTCTTAGAACAGTGCCTGGCACAGGATAAGCACTATATAAAGACTTGCAAGATATTGCAAACTGACAAGATCCATAAAAATTACAAATGCACATAGCTTCAGTCCCAGCAATTCCACTTGAAAGAATCCTACAGACAGTGATAAATGTGTGAAATGACACGCCTAGAAGGCCACCTTGTTTGTCATAGCAAAAAACTGGAAACGGCCTAAATGTCTGTCACTAGGGGGTGATTAAATAAATGGTCATGTTTCCATACAATGGAATACAGCGGAGCTGTGAAGAAGGGAAGTTTTTTATGGATATGTATGGAACAAGCCTCAAAGCAAACTGATAAAGAGAAACAATGGTGTGCAAAATGCTACCACTTATATAAAAACGGAAATAAAACAAATGGCATCCAACCATAAGGGTTTGTGGGTGTGTATTTGCTTGTATTTCCACAGAATATCTCGGGGGAATGACTTCAGGTTGCTTCTAGCGAGGGAACCGCAATAATAGGTAGATGAAATGGGAATCTTTTAATGCTTTTTAATGCTTTTTAATGCTTTTTAAATCTTGAACCATGTGGGTTTTATTTATTCAAAAAATAAGTAGCTGTTTACAATATCGATCACATCAGTCTTCACAGTTTGTGCCAAACCTAATGCTTCTCCCACCACGCATGCATCTGTGAGGCTCCTCCCACCCGTGTGTACCTGTGGGGCTTGACATCTGATCACTCTCGTCTGGGTCGTCTACCTCTGTGATCTGAATGTTAGGCATGGTGAGGGGCTTCATAATGGTGCTGGGGACAGAAAACAAACAAAAGGGAAGTTGGTTCAACCCATGAAGGGAGACGTCCCCACTCTCACTCCACCCCACCCCCTTCCCGCAAGGGGCGCACTTCGCTTGTGCCAGGCTGGAGACCAGCACACAGCACACAATGGAAGACGCTCATGTGCTGAGTCCCATGAGGCTGGCCTCGCTCCAGGCTGAGCATTGGGTGGCAAGGGGGAGTTCTGGAGGAAGAAGATGCTTGTTCCCCAGCAGCTGCAGCAACACAAGCACCCAATTCATCAAGCCCAGGATGGAGAACAGCAAAGAACAAAATCCGTGTGTTGCCTGCACGAAGTTTCTAAACACAGGTTCTGTGTGCGGGTTCTATAGCTTATTTAGAAATCCCCAATAATGGCCATTTATTTCTTTGGACAAGATTCCAGTTCAGATCCACTTCTGTTGGAGGAATAACTCAGAAAT